AGAGAGACAGAGAGAGAGAGAGAGAATTTTTTAATATTTATTTTTTAGCTTTCGGTGGACACAACATCTTTATTTTATTTTTATGTGGTGCTGAGGATCGAACCCAGCACCCCGAGCATGACAGGCRAGTGCGTTACCTCTTGAGCCACATCCCCAACCCCATACCGTTCATTCTTAAATGATTTATGTGTCAATCACTGAAAGTCCATGAGTTGCAGTAGAAAAGAGTATGGGACTCCTTCATTACTTATACCACATTATTAAAAATAAAAAGATTCCTTTTGTRGGGGAAAAACATTTAACATCACAAGTTGTGAAATAAACATGAAAATATAATCAATTTATATTTGTTTGGTCATTACTGAAAGTATGATACTGTATTTAAAAAGTAATGATTATGGTGATAGATGATACGCATTAAGAGGCAGAGTCACCCAAAGGGAAAATCTTAAAAGGAAGCCAAGTTTTCTTCTACGGTTTCTCTTTGAGTCTTGGTCCCTTCCTTTCCCTATCTCCAGTGCCAAAATTTAGCCCCCAAAAGGCTAGGATTTATCCTTCTTATTCTTGACCTCAGACTTTCCTAATTGAGTTATACCTCATACTCAGGGTCTTCCTTGGTGTTCTTCAAGAGATTAGTCCTTTAAGAAAACATCACATTTAAAAAGGATCCTTTAGCAATTCTGCCCAAAGTAGTGAGTAAAAGCAAAAAGTATCACTACGACAGGATAGTAATAAGGCAAAGATTGGCCAGAGGGTGGGGGTGGGGTGCCGACTTAGTTAGGCTACCCTTCATACAAACGTATGAACAGAGTTAGACATTGAATTGCCTAACCAAACAGCAATTTCTATCATTCAGCAATAAATCTAATTGAGAAGAAATAACCAAACACCAACAAAGGGTTCAATCACCTAATTATTTTGAAGTCACAAAGAGATTTAATAAAACAAAATGTCTCAAGCTATATCAATGTAAAATAYGTACATAAGCAATGTCATACTGGAATGAGCTCATAAGACAACTTTTTTTTTTTTTGGTATTGGATATTTAACAGGGGGATTTTACTACTGAGCTACATCCTAGCCCTTTTCATTTTTTATTTTCTATTTTTTGGGGGACAGGGTCTCACTAAGTTGCTTAGGGTCTTGATAAATTGCTGAAGCTCGACTTAAATTTGTGATCCTCAGAGTGTTCCCGACGCAGAGCTAAGGATCAGTCTGAGATGATATGTAAAGCTTATAAGAAAAATTGAAAAGGAAAATGAAACAAGGTGTCATTAGAGGCAGAGGTGGAGGAGACACTGAAGCGACTTCAGAGCCAGAAAGGAGTACAAGGAATCATCGTGGTGAATACGGAAGGAATTCCCATCAAGAGTACCATGGACAATCCCACCACCACACAGTATGCCAACCTCATCCACAACTTTATCTTGAAGGCAAGGAGCACTGTGCGAGAAATTGACCCCCAGAATGACCTCACTTTCCTTCGAATCTGCTCCAAGAAAAATGAAATTATGGTTGCACCAGATAAAGACTATTTCCTGATTGTGATTCAGAATCCAACCGAATAAGCCAACTTTTCTGGCTCCCTGTATCATTCCTTAATGTAATGCCCCAAAGAATACTAGTGTTAACCATGTCAAATGACTGGCCCGTGGAAATCGCCCTAGAGCCCATGCAAACCARTCCAGTGACCAAGGTTGGACTGGCAGCTGTGCCCAGCCCCAGAGGAATCCTTCTGCTGTTCCAGGCACCCCAGAGTTCCCGGGAGGGCTCTCTTTCCTCACTTCCAGGTTTTGGAGCAAGAGCCTGTGAGAAGCCCACACCCAGCTTCCTTCTGACCTTTAGTTCACTTTGTTGCCCTTGGAAAAGGCTGTTTTTCTTTAACTAAAAATAACCAGAATGCTTAAAAAAAATTTGTGATCCTCCTACATCAGCCTTCTGAGTCACTGGGATCATAGGCATGCACCACCACACCTGGCATAAGGCAACTTTTTAAAAACTTTAAGAAATCAGTTTTTAGCTGTGAGCACAGCTGAGAAGTACAACACACACTTAGTAATGTGCCAGACCCTGGGTTCAATAAGAAAGAGAAGAAGGAAGGAAGAAGGAAGAAAGGAAGGAAGGAAGGAGGGAGAGAAGGAAGGAAGAAAAGAAATTAGTTTCAAACTACTTATAGAATAATAATTTGAGCTTAGATAGCTTGTAAAAATTTTTAAAGTATTTTTTTTGGCAAATACAAAAATATTTTGTAAATGCTAGTTTTATTTTTTATAAAGAAAATAAATGTTTTCCAATTAGAGAAAATTAGAAACACTTCCTAAGAAAATGAATTTTTTTCTCTAGCAGAAAACCTTATACACAATGGGCACAGGAATATTTGATCCTTGTTGGGAAAAAAAAAAAGTTGCAGGCTGCTGACATTTAATTTTTAAATGTCTTTCACAAAGAATATATTATTGCAAATATTTCCTCAGACAAGTATTTTATAATCCTTCTTGTGCCCCACTGACTTTCAATTTATCAATGGAGGTGCCTAACTCAACTGTCAACAAGGGATTACTCATTTGAAAGTACTGCTTGAAAACTGCTTATGTATACTCATGTTCTATACTTTAAAAGTTATAATTTAAGGGTTGATAAAACCCATATCCAGAAGTACATATAATAAGGCCGATAACACAAGTAACCAAATCAGTTTTGAAGCTGATTAGCTAATGTCAATACTAGATTATGGAATATGAGAACCTTAGTACCTAAACAAAATAAAGTAAAAAATAATGGCAACTATAAAGGCTTGAGAAATCTTTGGGAAAGATAAACAAAAATTTAGACACTTCATTTGGTATGCAGGGTTTTTAAAAAAATTTATTTTTAAAGAGAGATAATTTTTTAAATATTTATTTATTTAGTTTTCGGCAGACAYAACATCTTTGTTTGTATGTGGTGCTGAGGATCGAACCCGGGCCACATTGCATGCCAGGCGAGCGCACTTGAGCCACATCCCCAGCCCCGATATGCAGGGTCTTAAGATTGTCCTTCTACCAAATATCTAAAAAGTTATTAATAGAAAAAAGTGACAAACTTAGAATCATCTCATTCATTTATGACAAACATTAAGAGTCCTGGCAAGAAAGCAAGAATGACTTGAGAGGGTTGGAGTTGAGGCTCAGTGGTAGAGTACTTGCCTAGCACATGTGAGGCACTRGGATTGATTCTCAGCAATCCATTCTATTTATTTACTTATTTTATAAAATAATCTATTTTATTTATTTATAAATAAATAAAATAATCTATTTATATTATATTATTTATAAATAAATAATTTTATTTATAAATAAATAAAATAGAGGTAGTATGTCCATCTACAACTAAAAAGTACTTAAAAAAGAAAAAAAAAAGAATTACCTGAGAAAGAAATATTGGGGATAATGAGWTATCTTTTGAATTATCCCAATCTAGAGTACCATTTCAGTGCCTCTCTAGAAACCTTGAATGTGAAGCTGGCATATTTTTCATTTTTCTCTTCCTTTAAAGAAGTTAGTTCTACTCACAAGGCTGCCAAAAGTTTAGTTACATTAGATCCTTTCCTTCTTCAAAATATCCTACTACCACTATATATATAATTTTTTTTCATATAATTTAAATATACATACCTTGAAATTCATGAACTAACCAACATGGTACTTACATTCACACTGTATGACATCTAAGTTAAATTGCTGAACAGCTCCCATGCTTATCTGTTTTAACTCACTATCCAGCAGCATCTGCATCAAGGTTGTTGACAGATGCTGGCAGGCTGACATGCAAGCTGTCTGGGCGACTTTCCCCTRTTTAAAACAAACAACCAAATAAAAAACAAATAAACAAATATAAATAAATAAGCAAATACAAAAATATACTATAAAGTAGTACAAAAATTATATACTGACAATCTTTTAATAGTGATTATTGGCTTTTCTATTTCTGCATCCTGAATAGCTATGCCTTTGTATTGTAAGAACCAAAATTAATATTCTTAGTTCCCTCATCTTTCTCAGGATATATCATTAAAGATCTAACTGAAATACAAAGAAAACTGAAATACAAGTTAAAAAGCTATTATTATTTCAGATCTCTTGAAATATCTAAGATTAAAAGAATTAATATCTAATATTAAAATAATGTCCAAAAATTTTAAAAATATTGATATTTCAATATTAAAATATGACATTTATGACAAAATCACCATAACATCAAAAAACACACTTTTTCATATAATGCTCTCTAAGCTCTCCTTTGTATATTTAACTAAACCAAAATGAAGAAAGTTAATGTTGTAATTTATTATTACTATTTAAACTGTATCTAAAATTCAAAATATACTTTGAGCCATAAGTCTTTATTTCTACTCAGAATGCTAGTCTGTGACACAGCTTTAATTACTGATGGGAGGGAGGCTTATTTACTAGTATGACTTCAAATTGAATTAAATACARATCTGTATTTAGTTTTAGAAATTGAGTTTTAAAATCATTTGGTAATTTAGAAATATGTAGTAGTTAAGTGAACTACATATGCTTGTGGTTTTCTTTTATTAAGGTATATAACATTTAAATATAGTTTCTATTTTAATAAGGTCCTGAAACTACATGAACTTTGATAGCCCTAAGTTTTCTTCTTTTAGCCTCTAGGTTATATAGCTAAATTACAATACTACATCACTTTTAGTATAAACTATTTATTTTAACAAGCTTTGCATTTGAAATAGAAGTTTAAAATAAAATATTTTAAAGACTCTTCTAGATAAAATTTTCTAGTATAATACTGCTCCTAGAATGGCTACCTCTAGCCATTATGGGATTTGGTGATTTGATGATAAAATTTAACATCTATGGTTATGGTTAGAAAAAATGACTTCCTGGAGACAAGCCATGTTTTGCTTCATTTCCAGTAATAAATATTTAACGATTTATATTTAATAATTAGGTTTCTTCCTACTTAACAAAAAGGCAATAAAGCTACAATCATGAAAAAATATCTTCCAAACATAATTGCGACAATAAATGGGTACAAAAATGTTTATGTGGATTTGATTTGAAAAGTAATAAAGAACATAAATATATTTTCACATTTGTTAGAAAATTTGTTCTTTAACTTACACATTAATAATCAGACTGGAAACAAAGAACTTTTATGAATGATTCGTTAGCATTTAGACACTATGCACAGTAGAAAACTGAAATGGAATGTCAATTTCTCAATCAAAAACTTGAGATAAAAGCTGATGCAAACAATATACTTGACAGATACTGATGAACTGCCAAAAAGGAATGTAACAAACAATGAAAAACCCAGCATGCTTCAAGATTCCCCAATCCTAAAAGGAATTAGTCTGGGAGACATGCAGCTCCATTCCCCAAGCAGAATAATATCAATATGAAAGAGAGGGGGGATAAAAGCAGAAAAAGAAGAAATCAATGACCAGTTATTTAATTACAATATAATAGGTTTGTGAAAATGGAAATGTCATTGTGACCTAATGGAACAACTAGTATATTTTAGTTTAATGTACTTCTTCATCAAATCAGCTCCATGTTCTATTTATGTTGCTACTATAATGTACTCACTACAAAAACAGATTAATAAACTGCAAATTTTATTATTAAATTCATTTTAAGTTCATTTAAGCAAATACACTGCACAATATAAGTAGTATTGTTTTCAGTGAACCTTTAAGATTTAACAGATTCAGAGGCTACAAATATATATGTGTGTATGTGTGTGTGTGTGTGTGTGTGTGTGTGTGTGTAACTGGAGCTGAAAATGATGGTTAGAGTACAGATAAAATTATTCCATAAAATGGTAGAAATAGGTAATGAAAATTCATATTTAAGTTACATATAATAATAAAATCTTAACATTAATTTTTTTGATTAGGCATATTAAATACAGGCTTATTGTTCTCAAAGAAGTTTAAAGTATTTATAAAATATTTTATAACTTTTTCAAATGAAATAAATTCTTCGTTACTAGAGATCAAAATTTAAGTTAATAATATCAAAGGTTCAGATTCTTTTCATTTAAAAAATTATGTTCTATAAGATTACACACTTTTAAAGTGCCTACTTTCTAACAATAGAAAGTGTACATATATTCTTAGATTTCATCTACTACTTAATTTTATTTATTTATTTATTTATTTGAGAGAGAGAGAGAGAGAGAGAATTATTTATTTATTTTTTTAGTTTTCGGAGGACACAACATCTTTGTTTGTATGTGGTGCTGAGGATTGAACCAGGGCCGCACGCATGCCAGGCGAGCGCGCTACCGCTTAAGCCACATCCCCAGCCCCTACTACTTACTTTTAGATAGAAAAATTCTAATCTCTCCAAAATTTGCACACCTAAAAAATATATTTGACAATTTATTTCTGATGTGTATGGCCCTGCACATACTTTGATATAATTAAACACCACTCTTTGAATAATATTACTGCTGTTATTGTTGAAGCTTTTAATAATCTTATAAGACAAAAACAATCTAACAATTTTTATAATTATCTTTAAAAACTATCCCTTTTTATTAGAGATGACCTGGTTTTTAACCTGATAACAAAAAAGCCCAAATAATAT